GCAGAAGACATGAACAGACATTTTTCCAAAGAAGACATCCAAATGGCCAACAGACACATGAAAAAGTGCTCAACATCGCTTGGCATCAGGGAAATCCAAATCAAAGCCTCAATGAGATACCACCTCACACCAGTCAGAATGGCTAAAATTAACAAGTCAGGAAACGACAGATCTTGGTGGGGATGTGGAGAAAGGGGAACCCTCCTACACTGTGGGTGGGAATGCAAGCTGGTGCAGCCACTCTGGAAAACAGTATGGAGGTTCCTCAAAAAGTTGAAAATAGAGCTACCATATGATCCAGCAATTGCAGTACTGGGTATTTACCCCAAAGATACAAATGTAGTGATCTGAAGAGGTACATGCACCCCGATGTTTATAGCAGCAATGTCCACAATAGCCAAACTGTGGAAAGAGCCAAGATGTCCATCGACAGATGAATGGATAAAGAAGATGTGGTATATATATACAATGGAATATTATGCAGCCATCAAAAGGAATGAGATCTTGCCATTTGCAATGACGTGGATGGAACTAGAGGGTATTATGCTGAGCGAAATAAGTCAAACAGAGAAAGACATTTATCATATGACCTCACTGATATGAGGAATTCTTAATATTAGGAAACAAACTGAGGGTTGCTGGAGTGGGGGTTGGGGTGGGAGGCACGGGGTGACTGGGTGATAGACACTGGGGAGGGTATGTGCTCTGGTAAGCGCTGTGAATTGTGCAAGACTGTTGAATCTCAGATCTGTACCTCTGAAACAAATAATGCAAAATTTTTAAGAAAAAAAAAGAAGAAGAAGATAGCAGGAGGGGAAGAATGAAGGGGGGGAAATCGGAGGGGTAGACGAACCATGAAAGATGATGGACTCTGAAAAACAAACTGAGGGTTCTAGAGGGGAGGGGGGTGGGAGGATGGGTTAGCCTGGTGATGGATATTGAGGAGGGCATGTTCTGCATGGAGCACTGGGTGTTATGCACAAACAATGAATCATGGAACACTACATCTAAAACTAACGATGTAAATTATGGGGATTAACATAACAATAAAAAAATAAAAGTAAAAAAAAAAAGAAAAAAATTAAATGTTGAATTATCTGAGGTCTAGAACTGGAAAGAACATTGATAGAGTCACACAAACCAAGATTAAGTGGGTCTTAAAAAGAGGACTTTTAGAGAAGAGTCTGTAGAATTTCCAGACTGACTGAATTCCCTGAGTCACATTGTCAAAAAGAATTTAAGTCATTGATTATAACAAAGCACTGGTTAATTCTTTTAACAAAGCTGAAAGTTCTTGAGAAAGTCAGACAAGGTCACACACTTTGCTCACTAATAATCTTACGCTGACAAATTCTAAAGTATGTAACAGATTCCATGCATCTGTAATTTTAAGCAAATAGGATAGGCCCTCCATTTGATGGCTCACTGGATGTAGCCTATGGCACACATAAGGCTTTGGAACTCTGTTTATAGACATCAACAGTTGGAAATTGAGAGTTGCTCAAGCAGAATTCTACATAATCACCCATTTGGGGTTAATTTACTTTATTGTGGCTGCTAAAGTGAGCTCAGCTGAACTTGTCATTTTCCATTCCAATCTGTTTTGTAAATGTTTTTAGTTTCACAGCCCAAGCATTTTATTGCAAATCTTTCAGATCATATGGTTTGTTCTAACCAGAACAATTCATCAAAAGAATGTGGGTTATTTCTAAACCTGCAATACAATTTTGAACTTACTTTAGAGTTTGGGACATGAAGAACTATAAGCTTAAAGAATGGAGAAATAAACTGGCTGGAGTTTAGTAGTTATCTATTCAACGTTTTTTGGAATACTTTCTTAGTGCAAGATACCATGTTAAGTGTTGGGGATTCAATGATGAAAAAGACAGATTTAGGTACCCCCAAAGAGTTTTAAAGTTATGTCAATCTGGACATAAATGAATAAATAAATAAAAACATCTATTATATATAGTACACACTTACTAGTAAAAAATATGGAAGTAAGGGAATGCTCTTAACACTGAACATTCCTGGTCAAAATCTCAATCTCAATCTAAAGTATCTTCATTCCTATATGCTCATTAAATGCTTTTTCTCTTTCAAGAAATTTTTCAAATTCCAGTTTTTCTATGAATAGTTATCTGATTAATGAGAAATGGATTCCCCAATCTTCTCTTCTATCGAAATGTTCCCAGAACCTTCTCTTATTCTTCTACTCATGTTTTTCTTAGGAAGTATTAATTGAGCAACTGATATGTTCTAAGCATATACAAATTGGAGGGATACAAGATAAAGGCTAGAGTGTACTGTCTTTAGCTTTAGAGTAGAGCAGATAAATAAATACAGAAGGTCATTATAATGTTATTGAAAAGTACTATGAAAATGGGGCACCTGAGTGGCTCAGTCAGTTAACTGTCCAACTCTTGATTTCAGCTCAGGTCACAATCTCAGAGTTATGAGACTGAGCCCCATGTCAGGCTCCATGCTTGGCATGGAGTCTGATTGAGATCCTCTCTCTCCCTTTCCTTCTGCTCCTTCCCCCTTTTGCACTCTCTCTCTCTTTCAAAAAATAAATAAATAAAATCTTTTTAAAAAAGTACTATGAAAGATATCTCTTTAAGAAAGTAGTCACATACATGGATTCAACACATACTTGTTATTTTAGATCTATAAACAGAATTAGTTGAAATGACAAATAATAGCATATATTGTTAAGGTATTTTAATCAATGAGTACTTTCTCTGCTCTAGGCACTTGACTTAAGTCATCAAATAAGTGTAATAATTCTGTGAGGTAGATGCTACACAACCCCACTTTAAAATAACGAGAGAGAGGCAGAGAAATTTAAGAAATTGACAAAATTCATGCATCTATTAAGTTGCAGAGTCAAGATTTAAAATCATGCAATCTGGACCTTAAGTCTGTGTTTTTGACTTCTCTGTACTATATCATTTCTGATTATTCACTCCTCAGCTTGTAAGAAGATTCCTATTGCCTTATGACTTGCAGTGTCTTTCTGTGAGAGGATTCTTTCCTTCTCCATGGTTAAGCTTAACCACACGACTTGTTTTGGCCAAAGAGGTACGAAGAGACTTAACATATGCCAGTTCAAAGCAAAGATCAAAGAGACATTACATATTTCTCCCCACTTCCTTGCCCTTTCCCTCAGTCACAGAATGGCATGTCCCAGGAAGTGCTGTTCCTTTAGCCTGAGTTCTGAAATGAGATGGTAAGTAGAGCACAGCCACAGTCCGTCCTCACTACTGACATGGAACATGAGTGAGACACATTGTTGTTGCAAGCCACATACGTTGGGATTGGTTGGGTTTTTTTTGTGTTGTTGTTGTTGTTTGTTTTTTATAGCAGAATAACCTAGCAAAAACTGACTAGTATAATAATACTTACCAAGAAGTAGGTGTGATAGTAACAAACACCCTAAAATATGTGATACCATGGCGAGGGGGACAGTGTTGAGGAAACTATCACTGGGATTGGGAAAATACAACTCATGTTCTACAGTGGCAAACATTTGTTAACTTAGTTGAAAAGACTAGGGTTAGAATGCTAATAAGTATTGGTACTGATTGCATTTTTAAGACTATAAAAGTAATTGTTTCTTTGCAAAAATAGAGGAATAGAAACAATTTGGAATTATAAGATATACCAGGTTGACAAGTGCAACTACTGCCCATATTCAACCAATAAAAGATATCCTGAAAGATGCTTTGACTAACAAAGGTTGAAGGAGACCCAAATTAAGACTCTTCCTCAAAGACCAGATAAGACGTTTGTGAAGTCTTTTTAATGAATTAAGGTATCCCAGTAAATTCCTTTAGTTGGATAAAATATATCAGAGCAAGAGACTAAGGGCATGGCTTTCCATGAGCCTGATAAGCTCTAAGTACTGGCAATAACTTTAGAGAAAGAAAGAGATACATTTCCAAGAAACATGGCATTTTAAGATAAAATTTATAAGTACAAAAGGATGAGCTATATTCTTTGTCTAAACTTTTATAAACTATTTCACATGTTCGTTGGTGATTTACTTGGAATCATCAATGTTCAGCTTAAGTGTTTCCTGCTCTGAATTAGATACTCCTCTACCACACCTTCTTCTGATCCCCTGGCTTATATTTATTAAGATGATTTTCACTCTACATCTGACTCTTTCCCTCCTCTAGTCTATGAATTCATCAATGAATTTGACAGAAGCTTTTAGCTTTTTATCAGATACACATGCAAAAGAAATATGGTAAGTATTTAATGAATGAATAACAGAGAATGAATACACTCGTCGAAGTAGCAAAATTATCTAACAAACTACAATACTCCCAAATCAGCATGATATACCATTTCTAAAAGTCTAAAGTCTGCCTGATTCTCTACTGTGCTAAAAAAATAAGATATTTGAAGCTGGAGGCTTAACACATATAATAAAAGTGTACTACATAAATCTCATATAAAAGACAACATTCTTTACATACAGTCTCAGGAAACGGTAAAGAAATTTTTGTTATTTCTCATACAAAATAAAATTTATAATACTAGTCCTAGACAAAAATCAAGTCAATTAATCACAGAGCTTTACAATTTAAAGTCATTAAGGCAGTTTGTAAAATACATTCCCTAAATATCACCCTAAAAAAAATGCCCAGACATACATATTTCTATGGCTAGGGTCTCATTATTTTAGAAGAATACACAATCCTTTGGTAAGCATATTATGTTGGTTCAGTCTACTCTTAAATTTTATTTATTTTTTTTAGAGATTTATTTGTTTTAGAGAGAGAGACAGCATGTTGGAGGAGCAGAGCGAAAGAATCTTCAAGCAGACTCCCCGCTGAGCACGGAGCAGATGACATCCAGGACCCTGAGATCATGACCTGAGCCAAATCAAGAGCCAGCTACTCAACAGACTGAGCCACCCAGGCACCCCTCTTAAGTTTTATTTTTAAGTGCATCCTATAGAAAACACAAGGAAATTATTTGAAATTACATACCTGGCGACACCAGAGTTTACGAAATATTTGCAGATAGGCCAACACCATAAGACACAGTGGTGCCATGTATGTCACCAGAAAGAAACAAATGTGATACATCTTGGGGTAAATTTCACCTGGAATGAAAGCCAAAATAATAAAATCCTGTTTTATAATTCACCGATTTTTTTAAAGGTCTGTCTGTCAATGTTTTGCTTTTAAAGTACACATTTAACTTCCATATGATTTCACTGGCATGGTATACACACACACACAAATACTGTAATATAGTATTAATTGCTTACACTTACTCAGTATACACACACACACTAAATGTGAAGTCTTAATTTTATTTAATATACTCAGAGAGGAATAACAGTTAGCCATTTCTTAATTTGTGCTAACATAGGCTATCCAAAGTCAAGCCTTTATTTATAAAAAAAAAAAACTTTTTTGTCTGATTACCTCTGGCTAATTAATAAAAATGAATTCGGATTGTGCTATACTTGAATTGCAATAAGAAACAAGACAGTCAAACCTAATTGCTAATGCTTTTGGGAAAAGAATGTAAACTGAGTCGATTTCCTTATTAGAATGTTTCCTGAGAAATGGGAAGCTATTCCCAGTTGTACCTCCATATACAAATGTGGAAAAGTTTTGGAAAAATAAACACAGTGAACATTTAATGGTTCCTTTGTTGATTACTATAACAATATAAAATTTCTCTTTCAGTATGTTGTGTGTGTATATATATGTATGTATAAATGCATGTGCTTTTAATAAAAACAATATTTTTAGGGATTTTAAAGTTAATTTTTAAACAAATATGATTTTTTTTATATTCATCTCATTTATCTAGTCATAAGCGCCTCTAGGATTGTAGTGATTTCTTATCATTAAGTCTATGGACATAGGTGATACATACCACAGATTAGGTATTTATTCAAGAGTCAATTATTCAATTAATAAATAACATGGTGGCTTAATATAATTTTGTTGGCTTTTTAAAGTATATTTATTACTGACTTTTAATTAATTTATTTTTTAAAAGATTTTATTTTTAAGTAACCTCTACACTCAACGTGGGGCTCAAATTCACAACCCTGAGATCAAGAGTCACTTGCCCCCCTGACTGAGCCAGCCAGATTCCCCTACTGACTTTTTAAATGCTTTCAAGGATATTTTTCCTATACTAGTATTTGAATATATCACAGTGATCCAGCTACTTTTACTTAAATGCAAAACAGGAAACAGAATATATCCTACATTGTTTCATGGATATTAAATGCCATAATCAGATAGAATTCTAATTGAATGCTAACAAAACAAAGTTTTTTTTTCCTACTTCTAAAAATTAAGCAACCGAATTTGACTTTGATATTGGCAATGAGGTTAGTTCCATACAATTACTGAGAGATAACACTATCACCTCCATGCATTTTATTTTTTTCATTGCTTCAGAAAGGGAATATAAGAGCATGAAGCCTCCGTTATGTGATCAAATGTGGTAAGGGCAAATTATAGTCAGGATTAACCAATAATAACTACGAAGATGACCACAATAATTGATAAGTTTATCGAACAACCATGCATTTGTTACTGAATGTATTTAAGTGTATCTATGAGTTTAATATCCTCCACAATCTTGATTCCATAGCCTTATCTTCTAGAGTGGTTGAGTTTAATATTCTACTTAGGCTTCCTTCTAAAACCCTGTCTTCTTTCTCAGGTAGATTTTTTTTTTCCACTGTCTTCTTTCTCAGGTAGATATATATTTTTTTTCACTGTCATCTCCAGAGGCGCCAGCAGGGTGCCTGTGCTGGCTGGGAGGTCTAAGAGACGGACTTGGGCATCAGTTTTAGCTCTTCTGTGGCCCAAGTGGCCCATACCTAGCTCATCAGTTTCTAATTTCCTTTCAAGCTTATCCTGTAAAACAGGCCAGTTACAGAAAAAGGGATAGAATCCCAGCAGCCTGACTAGAGGAATGACAGCCTTCCTCTCTGAAGTGTTGCAGCCCAAGCAGGCTTCTGTAAGCCCATTTCTGAGGAGCTGGCGGACGACCTCAGCACTTCCCAGGCACCTGAGTGGCTGTGAACTTTTATTTGTTTTGAAGAAAGTGTCACATGACCTTCCCACATAAAAATATACCTTTGAAGCTGATATACCTGTGAAGCCCTGATGTCCCTATCTCAGACAAAACTGAGTGAGTGGAGGAGGGTAGATTTGAGAGGTAATATTCTTCTTTTTTAATTGCAGCTATGGATCCCATCACCGTGATAACAGTTTGGGTTTTAAACAGCTGGGAGAGAAAGCTCATTCTGCAGTCAGTATATTTATAAATAGTTGGTAAGATATGTAATTTGCTGGTAAATGCATATTATGATAATGAACACCCACACAGAAAAGCTGATCAAGTGAAATTACACTTGCAGGCTGGGATTGAATGTCTTAATAAAGAGATTATTATAGATAATTGGGGAAACATGATAGTCTTAACATTCTTCATTTCATGCTTACAGTCTAAGCTAATTGAAAACCCAGAGATGTCATTGGAATTTTAAGTTATATGTGTTGAAACTATCTTTGTAGCCTCTCTGCACTTTATGAGCAATGTCTTCAATATATTTAAGACATTTATATATAACCTAGAACGTAGTGACAGGAAATTTGTTCCATTTAAGCATTTATACTATAAAACTGCATCTTAAAGATTGACAATCATTCAAAATTGGTGTCTCTACTCAACTGATGAATAGACACAATCTGAATAAATTCTTGCATATATATCAAACCAATAAATAAGGAGAAAATGTGGATCTTTATTTAGTCTCTGAAGTCAGAGGATAAAGAATAATATCATATATTAATAAGATAAGACTTAATCTCACATGAATTAGGTCCATTATTGAAACAACATGTTAATCTCATTATCTAAAAATCTACAAACATTTTCTCTTTCACGCTACACATATCAGGGACTCAATGGCCGAGTAAATTAAATATAATTTCCCAAATATTCAATATAGACTGTCTTTTCAAAGTTTATATGCCCATTAAAGTTTACCTGAATCTTTAATATATTTTACTATCTTCTAATAAATGTTTTCCATAAATGTGTATATATATATACATGTGTGTATATATATATATATTTCCATAAAATGTGTGTGTGTGTGTATATATATATATATATATACACATTTCAAAATCTCATAATAGACCAGATGCTATAATTAGTGTGACTGTAAAGAAGGGCTCCGTTATTATTTCTTTCAGACCACCAAAGAACAATTCAGCAGTAAGCTCCAAGAAGAGAGATTATGAATCTCCATTGTCTAGAAAAATGTTTGGCTAACAGTATATGCTCATTAAATATTGGATGACTGGTGAGACAATTATATCTTTAGTGCAAAAAAGAAGTTACTTTCCTTCCAGTAGGAACCCTTCTGTGAAACTATGCATTTACAAAGCAAGTAATGGAGGAACTATGGATATAATTCTGGAATAATCTTAAAACTTAAAAGTGTGAATTAATGTAACATATTCAAAAACATACTTTAAAGATCATTGAAATAAATATTAACACATTTTATTTGTTTTTGAGTATCAAGTGTGTCTGCCAGAAGTTAGGGTTTGTGGTCTTTTTTTTGAAAAAGCTATAGGCAATAATAAATATAATGAGTTGCAGAAATAATTTAACAAGATATTAAATATTTCTGGTAATATTTTCAGTAAGACTAAGAAAGAGTTCTTAGTTATTTTGTACCATGAGTGAGATAGCATTTGCAAGACTTTCCTAAAAGTATTTTGATAGATATGGATAAAGTGACCACATTGTTCACTGACTCCATCCATGCTGGAATATATTGGCTATGGGACAATTATGATATCACCATCTGCTTCTATAATTATGTTATTGATTTAACTTAGGATAAAAATAAGAAACACAATTCATGAATTAATCTCAAATAGAAGATATTTCACAACAAATTTTTAAAAATTGGGCTAAATGTTTTTGGACTTAGATGTTTGAACTTCAGAGAGCCAACACTGTAAAATGTAATTTCCTATGGACTTTTTAGGTTGTGACTATCACACACATGTCCGAATTTTAACATTTTAAGCTGAACTTCTAAATTAGAAGTTTGGACTTCTAAATAGCCTACATAAACAAAGCTTATACTATGTAAAAAGCATTATAATAAACAGTCTAATGATCAAAATGATAAGAACCTACTTTAATTCTTTTATATTCTTCTTGAAAACATTAAGTGATTAACAATTTCATTTAATATTCAAAAAGTTAATTTCATAAATTTTATTGTTTGATTTTGTGGATGATAAACTCAATTTTGTATTGCTTAATTTAAGCCTTTATAATCATGTTAAGTAATTGTGGGTTAATATAAAATCATTTTCAAATAGTTTTCCTAAATTACTTCTGAAGGCTGAGTTTAGATTTTTAAATATTCAACAGTAGGGGCTCCTGGGTGGCTCAGTTAGTTAAGTGACCAACTCTTGTTTGAGCCCCAGATCCGGCTCTGTGCTCAGCACAGAGCTGGCTTAAGATTCTCTCTTCCTCTCCCTCTGCCCCTGCCCCTGCTTGTGCTTTCTCTCCCCCTGTCTCTCTTTCACTAAATAGAATAAGTACAATCTTTAACAAACAAACAAATAAATAAATATTCAATAGTTGCTGTTTTTTTTAAGGAAATGTCTCTGCTACAGCTAGATAATAAAATGCTAAAGTTTGAAATGAGTTTTAGATATTTATATTTTTTGCTCAAAGTAATTAGAAAATGATGTAGCTATTTATTTAATCAGAATAACTGACAGGATTCCCTAGCTCTGCAATCTTTTTTGCTAATGAAGGTGAATGCTACTTGATTAAAAAAAAAAGAAAGAAAGAAAAGCTTATAAAAGCAGTCCACAAACTTATCAACTAATTACCAAAATATTTTAGAGAAAATACTATTGATACATGTTAAATAATAGGTGGGTATTTTAATCTATCATTTTCATAAACTTAAAATATCCAACTTTTGAGTTGAAAGCTTAGATTTAAATATACTTCTTTGCTTCATAATCTGCAAATAATTTATGGCTCAATTTCATCATTAATTAACTAACACATTCTGATCAAAGGATTTTTAGGCTGTTTTCCAGGTAGAATTCATTGTATAAGAAATGCATAAGACATGTCACAATTGGTCCCCAAACCACCTTCTTTCCAAACACATTTCTTTAGACCGCATATCCCTACATGACAGAAACTAGAGGTTTGGACCCTCTTTTCTTCTACAAGGGATAGTGCTCTTATATGGGTTTCTTGCTTCTTGGACACCCTTTCCCCTCTTCCCTGTCTGGAGAATTTCTCCTCATCTTTAATTCTTTGCTGAAATGTTAGCAGCTCCTTTGTAAACTTTTGTTCAAATGGCCAGGACTGAGTTTGTTCTCTCATTTGTGCTCCCACCACTTTGTATACCAGTATATTAAAATACTAATCACACTATAAACATTTGTTTATTTGCCTTTCAGTCTCACTATATGGAATGTGTTTCCCTAGGCAGAATCTATTTCTCTCCAGGTTGGCATAATTCCTGGCATATCCTAAGTACTCAAGATGTTATTTGAACATTAAATAAATGGGACTTAAGACTCTTAAGAAATACTCTTACCATTTTGGAATTTTCCATTCCTTTTGTTTTTGTCTACATCATTAATGGGGAAAATTGGGAAAAGATAAAGATGATCCAGAGAAAATACAGCAAGTGAATTGCAAAAAAAAAAAAAAAAAAAGAAAGGAAGGGGAAATCTCAATTTCAAAAAGGGCTAGTTAGTTTTTGGGATAAGAGACACAGCTAACTGTGAAATTTAGTTAATACAGGACTTTGGATAATATATGAAAAATAATCCCAGGGTCTTTTAAATTTTATCTTGTTGTAGTGAAACATACACCTAATTTTTCAGTTCCTGCCTTTTTGCTTTTCAGTGTTCCAAATCAAAGTATCAAGGTAGGAGTTCATATAAATTCAAAGATTCAAATACTCAAAAATACCAGCTCCATAAGCAACCCATGGAGTATCCTGCTTTTGTTAATACATTTTCTAATGTGCATAAATGTACATCTGTCTAGTAAACAAATGCTTTCCTAATGATTAAGTTTCCTAACTATGAGCCATTGTTATGTATTTATCCAGATGAGGATAGATCCATTTTCCTCAAATTTAATGTAGTAATTTTGTAACTAGTACATGACACACTAAAATGCAGGATTAGTTGATTTCCTGTCATTCTTTGCTGTGTCCAGGTTTATGCCATCATCAGGTCGATAGAAGTGTTTCCACTATTACAGAAAAACCTTCAAAGGCAGTCACTGAGAGTTTTGAACCAAAGGAGCATAAGGCCTCCAAACTTCTGCTTGTTTAAATTTAACTGCCATACATATCAGACTGGAAAACAAAAAGGATTCATAATTAATATAATTCTTAAATCAGAAAATAATTATGCCAGTGATAGCTTATCAGCTTAATATGTTATGAATAAACATAGCATATGGAGATAATTTGACTCAGAGAAGAGCATAGGTCCACATACTCAACTCCAGTCAGGTTTCCAGGCAGGATATGGTTTAAAATGAAAATTCCCAGTTGTATCTGAAGCCCATTAAGAAACTTAACACTTGAGGCAATATAACCTCGTACTATCTTGTAAAATGTTAATCATTCCAGAATACGTATTTGGATCATATAAATAGCCTTTTCTGTTTTGGAGAATTTAAGAAAAGCTGACATAGTCAAATCTGAATTATAGGAAAAGCCTTCCTTTTGTTCCCTATCTGAAAAATATGAAAACCAGCTGTGCATAGTAGTTCCAAAGGACCAGTAGGTGGAACTACTCTGTGAAATTGTTTTGGGTTTCAACCTGGTTTTCATGCTTTTGCAAAACGATATTAACAGGTGTCAATAAAATGCACAAGGCCAGCTTTATAATGGCTATGCAAATCACATTTTTAGTTTGCATATGTAACATCAATGTCAGCTTATGGGCCATAATGTACTCACCGCCCCAGCGCTCATCACACACTGTAAAGAGAGTGGTTTTATTGGCTAAGCCGGGGAGCATGGTGCTGCACTCCATGACGATGGCCTGAGGAATCATTATAATGCAGGAGACAATCCAGATGATGACAATGCTATTCCTGGCCCTCTTGGCTGTGCTCTTAAACATCAAAGGGTGACAGATTGCATACCATCGATCCAAGGCAATGCAGCTCAGTGTGAGGACAGAAACTGACACTGATACGGTCTAGAGAGGAAAAGAACACAGGACGAGAGAAACCCTTGGTGTTAAATGGATCATTCTTAATGTGCTTACCGGAGAAGAGAAAGGGTCACACAGATAGTCAGATTCAAAGTTTTAAGAAAATATTTCACGTAACGTTTTTTACCAAATAATATAATATTAAAAATATATTAGGGAAAACATATTTCCTATTAAGCATGATAAAGGTGCTATGAAAACATTGCAATCACTTTATGCCAAATGTGTTATATGACATGTCTGGCTTTTAAAATAACCATGAAAGACTGTGGACTCTGAGAAACAAACAGAGTTTTAGAGGGAGGGGAGGGGGGATTGGTTAGCCCAGTGATGGGTATTAAGGAGGGCACGTACTGCATGGAGTGCTGGGTGTTATACAAAAAAAATGGATCGTGGATCACCGCATCAAAAACTGGTGATGTATTGTATAGTGACTAACATAACACAATAAAATTTAAAAAATTTTAAAAAAGTGGCTAAACACCTTTAAAAAATATCATATAGAAATTTGATTGCAATGCATTTAATTAGCATTTTTTAAAAATTATGGATATCTCAGTCTATATTTTCAAATAACAAAGGCTATTTGTACATTGTTTCATTTCCAGCATGTTGCACCCAAAGGCAGGAGTTATGTTAGAAGCAAATTCTGTATAGATCTCCTCACCAGAGTTTGCTTATAGCTGGTGTAAGCAACTCACCTCTAAAACTCAAATAGGTTCACCTAGTCCAGATTTTCATAATTAATGCCATCACAAGTGATACTTTAACTTGGAACTTTAAGGAAATAGTAAAGATACATGTTAAGCATGCCTATACCCACATAATCAGTTTATGTAATTATATGTAATGTAACTCCTATCCTGGATGAATCATTGATTCTGGTATCACTCTCAAAATCCCATCTTTAAAAAGAAACCTCACTCCCTTTTCCTTTCTTCTTAGTACTTACAATAAATATTATGTGATATAGTACAATTATTTTTGTTTAACTTATTTATTGTATGCCTTCTCTATCAGAACAAAACTCTGTAGCAGGAGGGACTGCTACTGTTTTTATTTGTTTATTCTCACAACTGTGTCCCCAGTGCCTGGCACAATGTTTGATGTGCTTAATAATTTTTTTTTGAGTTAAGGAATAGTTATAAGCCTCAATCTAAGGTAATAAAGGTGGTCTGGTCCTCTCTCTCATTTTTCTGTCCTGGTTGTATTGATCCCACCCTATGTGGAAGGGTAGTCATCTCTGTTTCTTAGCTCAGGACCTTCTTTGTGGATGCATTGACTTTGGGTGCATATGACTGAAAAGGATCTAAGAGCCTGGGCAGTACAGGAGAAAGGTCTCTGGGCTAAGTGTCACGATGACCAACCTGTTTTCGCTTCCCACCAGCTAGGTGTGCACTGTTGGCTTACCCATTTTATAGGTTTTTTTTTTTTAAAGATTTATTTATTTATTTGAGAGAGAGAGAGTACACATGTATATGTGACAGGCAGGAGGCAGAGGGAGAGAATCTCAAGCAGACTACCTGCTGAGCCCAGAACCTGACATGGGGCTCAATCTCATGACCCATGAGATCATGACCTGAGCAGAAATCATGAGTTGGGCACTTAACCGACTGAGCTACCCAGGCACTCCATCCATTTTACAGTTTTAAGCCAAATGCTTATGTGTTGTTATTTTTTGTTGTTGTTGTTAAATGAGTGAAACTGACAGGATACAATTCTTGTTACTCTGATTCTTTTGATTCTAATCGGAGGGGGAGACGAACCATGAGAGACTATGGACTCTGAGAAACAAACTGAGGGTTCTAGAGGGGAGGGTGGTGGGGGGATGGGTTAGCCCGGTGATGGGTATTAAAGAGGGCACGTTCTGCATGGAGCACTGGGTGTTATACATAAACAATAAATCATAGAACACTACATCAAAAACTAATGATGTAATAATGTATGGTGATTAACATAACAACAACAAAAAAAGGCAGTATAGTTGAAATCAATTCTGCAACCAGGTTTCCTGGGCATGAATCCCACCTCACTTGATAAGTGTATGATCTTGGGTAAGTTCCTTAACCTCTCTATATCTCAGTTTTCTCATCTGTAAAACTGGATGATAATAGTACCCAACCATGGAATTATAGGGACAGTCAGTTGAGATGTGAAATGACTAGGCCTTGCCTGCCCCATAAATGCTATGTAAGTGGTTGTTATTACTTATTATGATTATGGCAATGATTATGGTGATTATACTATTACTTTTCTCTTCATTCTCACGTTTGGCAGTCTAGCTTTTAATTAGAACGGACTGCTTTTTAGTGAGGAAAAAAAAATCACAGAAATTACAAATAAAAGACTAAACTATGCTAAATTCTTGGAGGGTTAATTGCATTTTAAATGTAACTTTACAGGCTGAACTCTATCAGAGAGGGTTTAGATGGCTTGATGACTCCTGAGAATTACTTGGTCCATCTTAGAGCTGATTCATGTGTCCTTCTCAAACCAACGCTTTTCCTTCCAACCCCCATTTTTCCCCCATAAATATGCCAAGCACTCAGGACCCCTCAATACTATTGGTAACTTGGGAATAGAACTGTGGTAGCCTAGATCTGCACAGCCGACCTTTCATAGTTCCTGGGCCGGGGCTATATTTATCCAATCTAGCTATCAGAAGTGTAAAATGCTCACCAAGGCTTAGTGATTTATCATTCATGAATTCTAATCAACATGGGTGAATGGGATAGAGGTAACATGGCTCAAATTAAAAAGTCATTTCTAGTATTTCCCTTTACTATTAAATAGTAATTATCACTTAAAAACAGTTCACTTAAAAGACTGCCATCCAGTGACAACAGTGAGCCAAAGAGCAGTGGTTCTCTGTTATGTGGCTACATGAGAGAATATGTTGACATGGTTAATCTAACAGTAGAATTCATTGAATGGACCCTTGGCAATTGGTGATTTAATATTCACTGTTTGACTACTGTATTTGCTGGTGCATAATACACACTAGCATCCAATTCACAACATTTTCTTGGGGGGTATATAAAATGGCATCTTATCCCAAGTGATTACAAATGACAGTTTCTTGCTGCTTTCACTTCTAGGAGTGCACTTCTGTGTGCCTTTTTCATTTAGAGTTTGATATTAGCGTAAATCAACCTGGTAGCAAATCATTTGAGAATGAGTCCAGTGGAGATTATGAATGTTATAAACAAAGTGGGATAAGAGGATGTGAACTTCTGCTGTTAGGTGCTTGACCTTTCACTCATACTGTGGGCACCCTGTAGTCTGGACAATGCTGGAGACTTGCTTCAGTAGATGATGAGTCTGTTCTATGCTAGCATAGAGCTATGACAAAAAGGCCTCAGAGATCCATGGCAAGTAGAAATGGAAATTTGGGGGCACCTGGCAGACTCAGTCGGTACAGCATGAGGCTCTTGATCTTGGGGTTGTTTGAACCCCACACTGGGGACAGAGATTACTTAAAAATGTTTAAAAACTAAAAAAAAAGAAGAAAGAAAAGAAACAGAAATTTTGCCGTATCACAGATTTGGATATAAGCACTGAAAGATTGGAAGGTGGGAAAGTGTGACTGAGAGTGAAGGAGCCTATTCCGCCACCCACCACCCACCACCTCCATTTCAGGCGGCTTTTTGTTCTTCTTTTCCTGACATTTCCTATGTAGGGCTTCTTCTGCAGCTGAAAAAAAAGTCACTCTGAAAAAGTAGCCAACTGCTCCTATAAGTGTGAGAATAAAAATGAAGTATGTTATAATTTTCTAAGAAATTCATGTTAATTATTCTGTAAATAGTCCAGTATATGTTAATGGTCTTGGATTTATAGAATTATTAAAGATACAAAAGGGTCATTTGAATTATTCAGCTAAGCTTTATTACATTTGTGAGATTTTTAGGATTTTTGAGCATTTTGTGAAGTGTTTTGTAGATCAGTCATAAACCTAAAGGTTGTATTATATTCTATTTAGAAGAAAAAATGGCATATAAGTCATAGAAAATTAATGCATGTTCAATGAATCTTAAATACAACCGAATAACCTTAAAATCTGGCTGGATAAACATTTTTGTAATAATTTTTTAAGCATTCAGTGGGACATAAGTTTCATATCAGGGACAAAAGCCATCAGTTTCAGAATATCACAACTAAGGGAAAACAACTTCAAATTTGAATGAATGGCTTATTGTCCATTGATATTGCTCATTCCATTTGGGGAAATTCTATGGAAAATGGGCAATAAATGTTGAGAGAATTTGGAGATACTAGTTTTACCAGTGCCCCAAGTTTTTTGTGCATTTATAACTTTTCATCAAGAAGCAATGCTGGATGAGGTAATGAATGGATCTAGTCTTTTTTCATCTGACTCAGATCTTGTGGTTACTCAGTTTTCCTTGGCCTATGGAGGAGAGAATCAACTGAGATCTTGACTAGACAGGACACTATAGAGAAGGAAACAAAATCTCTCAGGAAATGAAGATGTTTCATCACTGTAGGAATTGCTAATAAGTTGTGCTAAATGCAATTGTACTGTCAATAACTTTAAGAGAGACCCATGCCCTGCATCACTCATTGGATACACACTGCATCCAATCTGTCCTGGAGTGCTCATAGGAGAGTCTGGAATACCTGGTATATAAGAAGTTATCATTGTGCTTTAGAGCAGAACTGTATCTACTACAGGGTGATGCACTCCTCCCTCATCACCCCACTGTTCATTGAGGAATCTTCTGGTTTGTAGAGAGAGCATAGAATACTCTCACTTAGCCAATAGAAGAATCTGGACAACTGCCTGTATCTTGAAACTTAAGATGATCCCTCAAATTTTCCCCTGGATGGTTATTAAAACCAAGAGATGGTAAAATATTAGAATTCTGGGCTATTTGCAATTTCTCCAGTGTCTCCATGCAAAACCATAAGACCAATTTCTTACCGATTTTTTTAAATAAGGATACTTACCTTTGTTGCTCAATGTACTATTTATCTCAAAACAGAAAAAGTTACTGAATTTTATTTTTGTAACACATTCATGGTTTTCATCTGACTGACAGACTAAACTTATAGCTAATGCTTGCAAAAAAGCTTATAATGTCCGTGGCATTTTATACTTTCTATACTGTCAATGATGTCTAATCTAATCTTAAAAATTATCACTTTTACTTATGAGGTTATTGAAGAACTATTGGGGTAAAGATCTCTTCATAACACTTCAGATCCAAAAGCATAATCAATATAATTTCTAGCAATGGGTTATTTGTGTCTCCTCTGACTTTTGTTTTTTATTAAAACTTTACTTTGGGGATACATTTAAAATCACAGCAAAATTGAGAATGCACAGAGATTTCCCATATACTCCCTGTCTCTCCCATTATCAGCTTCCCTCCACCAGAGGGGTACATCTCTTACAATTGATGAACCTACATTGATAGATCATAATCATCAGAAGTCCATAGTTTATATTGTGGTTCACTCTTAGTGGTGTACATTCTATGTGTTTAGAAAAATGTATAATGACATATATCTACCATTATACTATCATAATCTGTGCTTATCACTTCCTACCTCTGGCAACCATTTATCTTTTTACTGTCTCTCTAGTTTTGCCTTTTCCAGAATGTCATATTATTGAAATCATACAATATGTAGCCTTCTCAGCTTGGGCTTCTTTTACTTAGTAATAAGCATTTAAGTTCCCCCATGTCTTTTCATGGCTTGACAGTTCGTTTCATTTTAGCGCTGAATAATATTCTACTGTCTGGATGTACCACAGTATATTTATCCATTCACCTACTGAAGGACATCTTGGTTGCATCTAAGTTTTGGTGATTGTGAATAAAGCTGCTATAAACATTTGTATGCAAGTTTTTGTGTAGACATAAGTTTTCAGCTCCTTTGGGTAAATACCAAGGAATGCAACTGTTGGATCATATGAAGAGAGTATGTATAGTTTTATAAGAAAACTCCCAGAGTGTGTATCAAAGTGGCTGTACCATCAGCAATAAATGAGAGCTCCTGTTACTCCACATACTCACCAGCATTTGGTGTTGTCAGTGTTCCAAAATCTGGCCATTCTAATAGGTATAAGGTGGTATTTCATTGTGATTTTAATTTGCATTTTGCTGATGATATATGATGAGGAGCATCTCTTCATACACTTCTTGCCATCTGTATATCTTATTTGGTGAAGTCCTGTTAAGGTCTTTGGCCCATTTTTTTATTGAGTTATTTGTTTCCTTATTGTTGAGTTTTAAGAGTTCTTTGTATGTTTTGGATGTCAGTCCTTTATTATATGTATCTTTTGAAAATATTTTCTCCCGGGTCTTTGTCTTCCCATTCTCTTGTCTTTCACAGAGTAGAAGGTTTTAAATTTAGTGAAGTTGGCTTATCAATTATTTCTTTCAAGGAACATGCCTTTGGTGTTGTATCTAAAAAGTCATCAATGTAACCAAGATCATCTAGGTTTTCTTCTTTGTTATCTTATAGGAGTTTTATAGTTTTACATTTTATACTCAGGTCTACAATACATTCTGAGTTTTTGTGAAGGGTGTAAGGTCTGTGTCTAGATTTTTTTTTTTTTTTTGCATGTCCAATTGTTCTACCTGCACCAATTTTTCATTATTGGGAGCATATTTTCATCCCTTCCAAATACTGTGATCACCATCTGGGAGACCGGATGGAGTAGGGAATGTGGGGTGGAGGATGGTTACAGGAAGACAAGCAGGGAATGGCATGATCTCATTCACTGTCCAATTGCTAAAGGGAATCCATCTCTTTGAGGGCTGTGGCTATGGCCACTAGCTTAAAAACATTTCACTTTCAAAGATTTAGAACTATCAGAATATCCACAACAAAATTATTCTCTGAAAGCATCTGTTCTCAATTTCTTATAGGACAATTTACTGTAGAAAAGCTACTTTCACACAGAACAATAAAATGTCTAACAATGTTGATGAGGATGATGACTGATGTTTGTTGAGAATAGACTATATTTTTATAAGATCATCATCTGCCAGAGAGTAATCACTATGCCAAGTAATTTATATAAATTAGCTAAGGAAAATGTCATAACCATAGGAGTTAGCTATAATTAAAATTATTATCCTTCTCTAATAAGTGAATCACAAAGAGCTAGTGTATTTGGCTCAATAGCATACATTCAATAACTAGGAGAACAGAGATTCCAAACCTGGTAGCATGATTCAGAACCAATACTAAAATCTGTTCACTGCATTGCTTTGATCACATAGCTTTAATTTCTCAGTGTGAAACAAAACCACTTATAAAAATAGACAGACCTTGCTTATTTGAACTAGAAGAGGCTCAATCATTAATTTGTTCAATTTCCTTATTTTACAGTGGGAAAATTTGAAATCAGAGAAATAAAAGGTTTGTTCAGCATCTAATGATGACTTGAGGATTCTGTTGTTTTATTTTTTACCCAGAACTTAACTTATTTACCTCAAAATTATGAAGTATTACTTTTCTTAAGTTTGCTAATTCCAGAAGCAGGTATATTTCTCTCTTAGCTCACTAATTAATTTACCAGATGATTATAACTGAAAATACTTTTCAATCCTTAATTGAAAATACTTTTTCAGTAGCTTCTGTGTTTGGATAAAAAGAAGTGTGAAAGACAATTACCTGTAAATATGGAATAACTTTACAGAGGGACTGTCCAAAGAACCAGGTCTCAGTGATGTCTACCACCAATGTGGCTGGAAGGCAGGTAATGGTCACGAGCACATCAGCCAGAGAAAGGTTGACTATGAAGTAGTTGGTTACCGTCCTCATGTGGTGGTTCTTCCACACTGCCACACAAACTAATTTGGGGGAAAAAAAAAGAATAGTTACTATTAAGGACTAAATATTTTTGTCCTTACAAAATTTAGGTTGAAATCCTAACACCCAGTGTGATGGTATTAAGTGGTGGGTCTTTAGGAGGTGAATAGATCATGGTGTTAGAGCCCACAAGAATGGGATTAGTGCCGTTATAAAAGGGACCCCAGAGAAATCCTTTGACTCTCCCACCATCTGAGGACAAAATGAAAAAAACTGCTGGCTATAAATCAGGAAACTGGCCCTCACCAGACATTGAATCTGCTACAGCCTTGATCTTGGACTTCTCAGATTCCAGAACTGTGAGAGATACATTTATGGGGTTTATAAGCCACTAGTTTATGGTATTCTGGTTATAGCAGCCCAAATAGACTAAGACAGTAACTATACAAAGAAAATAGGTACTGATTAGGAAACACTGCCAAGCTAATTAATGCTCCTGTAAAGACCACAAATAAATATTGAAAAAGGAAGATAATTTAAGGCTGTACTGTTTTCATTGAATCAGTCAGTTTGTGTGAATGCTGAATCCATGCTTACCATCAGTTCATTTACCTTACAAGACATTTCTCAATGGATCATAAGACTGCATTAATTTCTACTTGATTTTGAATTGTGATTCCCAGAAGTTGAGGAACAATCTTTGATTCTTCTTTGTATTCCCTCAGTGCATGTAGCAGAGAGTCAAGAAATATTTACTGGAGTGAAATGAATTAGGAGCTAGCTATTTTCAATGAACTGTAGTGTTTGCCTCAACCATGACGTTTAACCTATCTACTCCCAAACTCTGCATTTGGAACTTTTAATTGATGAGGAGGTTTAAAAGACAAAAGCCAACAATTTTTCAGCCCCTATTATTAGCAAACACTGAGCTATATGGTTCATATACTTAGGTCGTTTAATCTTGACAATCCCAAGGGAAGACATTGTTACCATCATTTTATATATGCAGTAATTGAGACACACGGAATTCATGGAGCTTGGCTAGGGACAAATGGCTCATAAAGCACAGAACTACAGCTACAACTAGGGATTCAACACCAAGTGAGGTGTTGTTTTTTTGTTGGGGGGGTGGTGAACTAGTTATAACAAAGCACATATATACTCTAGAGACTCAGTCCTCTTTCCTCTCTATTACTCTGGATGGCCTCTAAACGTCATCTCAAATCAAACACATTTTTCAATACTTTCTGAGTTGAGCCTTCCTCATTGCTTTTCAGCTTATCTTCATTTTTAAAAGCTGTTCTATCTTGGGCGCCTGGGTGGCTCAGGTGGTTAAGCGACTGCCTTCGGCTCAGGTCATGATCCTGGAGTCCCGGGATCGAGTCCCGCATTGGGCTCCCCGCTCTGCGAGGAGCCTGCTTCTCCCTCCAACCCTCCCCCTTCTCATGTACTCTCTCTCTCTCTCATTTTCGCTCTCTCAAATAAATAAATCTTAAAAAAAAAAAAGCCATTCTATCTTATTCAGTTGCTCTTTATGGAAAGAACATCCAGTTCCCCAATTCTCTGTTTTTCTCTGTGTGGTGTATCCAAAGGTTACATAATCACTGGCTCAAGAATTATATAGGTGTAAGCCCTGTTACCCAGTAAGCCCTGTTACCCACATCTACTGATGGGTTGCTTCACTGACAGTAACTGCAGATTTGCCTTGGGTATCATCAACCTGTCAGAGCTGTCACCTATGCACCCAAATGATGCAGTGATTGTGGAAAAATAAAAGCATATTTTGTTAAATTTAAGTCACTAAGTAAAGATTTCTTTTTGACAATTATGTACCACTTATTAAGAGTTTCATATGCTGAAGAAACTGAAATTATCTTCCAGTCACCAGCATATGCTAAGTTAATAAAATCCCTGAATTCCTGAGGATTTAATTTTGAAAACTTTACATCTTTCTCCAATTCCAGAACATTAGTACCCAAAAGCTCAGATGAACTTTATTAGGGTAAACTGTAGTCTTTACTATTTGAAAGTGATAATGCTGAATGATTTACTTCCCAGAAACACTTGAAGACACACACACACACACACACACACACAGGCACACTCTCAGTTGACTAGCACATTATCATGGCTTGTTATGAGAAAATTGATATAAGTCTCACACCACTGATATTTAGTCAACAAATGGTCCAAATGGTACAATTTTGGATCTAGGAAAGAAAGTAAGACTTAAAAAAATATAAGCAGTTCTAGATTGACTCCTAATTCTCCATATTTTGGAAGTGAGGCAATGATGGAAAGACAGTGTTGATGCATTATGACTAGCTAATATGAGAAAAGTATTTTTTCAGGAAATATTTCTATACTATTTACTATGTGTCATGCCCTGTTCTAAGCAATGTAAATTATTAACTAGTTTCAGTCTAATGATAACACTATAAGTGATTACTATTACTATCCCTGCTTAACAGTTGTGAAACTGAGGCTAGAGAAGTTAAGGAAACTACCTAAGGACAAATAGTTTGTAAGTGGTAGAGCTTAGGTTTAAATCTTATCCACCGTGCTTATCCACCGTGCTATGCTATCTTAATATATCTTTTTTTAGTATAGTTGATACACAATGTTACATTAGTTTCAGGTATACCACTTAGTGATTTGTCATGTGTATACATTATGTTATGTTCACCACAAATGTGGCTATGCCATCTGCCTTGTTACATTACTATTACAATATCATTGACTGTATTCTTTAGGCTCTGCCTTTTATTCCCATGATTTACTCATTCCATAACTGGAGGCCTGTTACATCTGATAAGGGGTTAATGTACAAAATACATAAAGAACTTATACAACTCAACACCAAAACAACAATCTGATTTAAAAATGGGCAGAGGAGCTGAATAGTCATTTTTCCAAAGAAGACATACAGATGGCCAACAGCCACATGAAAAGATGCTCCACATCACTAATTGTCAGGGAAATACAGATCAAAACCACAATGAGATATCATCTCATACCTGTTAGAATGGTTAAAATAGAAAAATACAAGAGAGAGAGATTGGAAGATAGCAGTGGAATAGGAGGATCCTAGGCTCAGCCTGTCCCACAAATACAACTAGATAACTTTCAAATCATCCTAAATATCCCATAAATCAACATGAAGACTGGAGAACAAACTCCACAATTAAAGGTAGAGAAGAGGCCACATCAAAGAGGGTAGGAAATGCAGAGATGAAGTTTGTGAGAGAAACAGATCATGGTCAATGTGGTGGGGAGGGAGTCACAGCTGCAAAGAAGGCTAGAGATAGACTAGCACACAAGGGAGTGCATGGGGAAAACAAATTCCCATAGCAATTAGGGTGGAAAGCAAGAGGGGCTGAATTTTTTGAGTTCTTGCAAACAGCAGGGCTTAAAGCCTGGAGTTTTAAAGGTGAGGGGGCTTGGCTGGGAGAGAGCCTGGAAGACATTGGGGCTGCTTTAGAGAAAAGGAAAGGCAAATAGCCTGAAGACATACAGCATGGAACCAGCTATCTGAAGTGCACCTGGGGCACATAGTGGGGAGGTTATTCATTCATCTCAGAGCATGTTCCAAAGAGGCAGCATTCATGGAGAGACACTTCAGGAAAAAAGGAACTGAGTAATGCCATTTCCCTCCCCCATCCCTTAGCATAAATACAGGGCTACCTGTGGGAAGCAGCACAGTGTCCACACTGCTACCTAACTTGCTTACACCAAGACCCACATCACACTCCAGTGGAACTGCCCTTCTTAGTCATGCTCATCTCAGTCCCAGCATGGTGCCCACCTCCCCCCCCCCCCCCCCGAGAAACTGGCTCAAACCCTTGCTCACACTGTGTTTCCCAATGCAGGAGTTTTGCAGAGACTCAGTTCTGGAGGCCACTGTGACAGAACTTGCTTCACAAACAGACCAGAGTACACCTAGTTAAAATATGCTACATTTTGGCCAGGGACCAAACACTGCCCACAATGGGCAATGAGAGCTTCTGCAGATGACTGGCCTGAAGGACAAAGCAGCCAGGACAAAACAGCAGAGCACACACAGCACACATGGAAACACTCCTGAAAGCACCAGGCCCTGGAGAACACGGGACACCACACAGCAAGGCACTACATGACCTCTTTTTCATAAGGCCATTACCTTCAAGAATAGGAGATGTAGCTGACTTTCTTAACACACAGAAAAAGGCACAGAGACTTAGACAAAATGAGGAAGGAAGACAGAGAAATTTACCCCAAATGAAAGAACAGGACAAGGCCATAGCTGGAGATCTAAGCAAAACAGATATAAGTAACATGTCTGATAGAGAATTTAAAGTAATGATCACAAGGATACTCAATGGACTTGAGTAGAGTAGAAGACATGAAAGAGATCTTTAACACAAAGATAAGAAATAACATAGCAGAGAGAAAGGGCTCAATAAACAAAACGAGAAACATGCTTGATGGAATGAACACTAGGCTGAAAGAGGTAGAAGAATGAATTAAGGACCTAGAAGACAGAGTAATGGAAAGTAATCAAGCTGAACAAAAGAGAGAGAAAAAAATACTTATGGAAAATGATACTAGACTTAGGGAACCCAGTGACTCCATCAAATGTAATAACATTCAGATTACAGGAGTCCCAGAAGAAGAAGAGAGAAAAGAGGGCAGAAAATTTATTTGAAGAAATAATAGCTGAAAACTTCCCTAATCTGGGGAAGGAACAGGTATCCGGATCCAGGAGGCACAGAGACCTCCCATCAAAATCAACAAAAGCAGATCCACACCAAGACATATTGTAACTAAATTGGCAAAATATAGTGATAAAGAAAAAAATTTAAAAGCAGGAAGACAAGGGGCAGCTGGGTGGCTCAGTCATTAAGCATCTGCCTTCGGCTCAGGTCATGATCCCTGGGTCTTGGGATCAAGCCCTGCATCAGGCTCCCGGATCTGCAGGAGGCTTTCTTCTACCGCTCCCACTCTCCCTGTTTGTGTTCCCTCTCTCACTGTGTCTCTCTCTGTCAAATAAATAAAATCTTTA